GATAAAACTATAAAGCCTGTTCGAAATATTCTTGGTGACCCTCTGAGTCTCTAGACCATACACAAGAACTAACTTGGCATTAATGTTTAAAACCAGAATCCTGTTCTTTATGCTGAGTGCAGAAGATGTTCAGGCCGATTTCAGATTAATGAAGGTTTGCCTTGCCTTTCCAATCCTGGCTTTGACACCCACATCCGTGTCTCCTGTAATCGAAACGTTACTACTTAGACAAGTGAAAGAAGTGAGTTTCTTCAATTTTCTCCAGTTTTCAGTAATTGTTGCTTGTTGCAGTTGGTTGAGTATCTTCATCATCTCTGCCTTCTCTGTAATCACTTGAAATCCTGTCGTTACCACTTCTTCTTCTTCTTTTGCCAATTTATCGGTTCTCGTTTGTAGGTCTTCGAGTTTAGGTGACACTAGACATAAATCATCTTCGAAATCCAGATTTTCTAGAGTATTCTTATTGGTCCAACGTATTCCTTCTTCGCCGTTCCCCATGGTCTTTTGCATGATCCAGTCCACCACAATCAGGAATATTATCTCCGAGTTTTCCGTCGTTGGCGAGAAATACTTTAAATTAGTCCAAAGAGACACATATCTATGGATAAAAACTGTTTGAATTTGTGAAAAGTGTTTAGCAGTTTATTGGAGTTAACATGGTTTCTCATGAGGATTTTTATTATCAGTTTCGACTGGAATATGTTACATGGAAAATACTTCTTACTCATGTATGCTTGTGAATAAATCTAGAGTGATGTGAAATCAAATCCCGAAAACCCTTACATGAATGTTCCCTAATCGTTTCTGTCAGATAAATCGCATGATATATTCTTCCACAAATCAAGAATTTGTTCACTTTTAACAGAGATACTGTTTCAAATTACGTTATGTATGGATATTTATACATCAGTTCATCGATATTAAATTTTATAACCAGGATAAATAAAGCGGGGTATAATAAGGATTCGTTAACAAAATAATAAACTTTTTCAATTTACGCGAATGAAAGTCTAAAGTTTATTCAAGTGCTTTTCTTACTACCTGTTTGAAATTGTCGTCATATGAAAGTTGACTAAACGCTTCATTCCACAGCTCATAACAAAAATGAACTGGAAATTGTGAATTTGGAGTCTAACCACTGACCATTAGAAAAATAAGTTTCTAGCTTTCAGTTGTACAAGTTTATCATAATAACAAGCTTGATTTGGACAAAAGCACTACATTATTCCGCAATACGCATGACAAAAATAAACTGAATGAAAGATTAACACTTTCCACCGATCAATATTATACTTCCAAAATGCTTTTCTGAATTAAAGGGAATTGGAAAAAATCGTCATCACCTGCGTTTGGAGTGCTATTTCTGCTAAACTTGATTCATTTTAATTTCTGTCTTATCCACTATCGGTACAGTTCTTGTTTAAATGCATAGGTGAAGAGTCCAGTATTATTCCAAAAAGAAGCTGTTTGAATCTCTGGCTTCCAGTGATATTCAGAAAGGATCGCTTATCATGGAAAATAGACATTGAAATCTATGAAATCCCATAAATTTATCATCAGAAGTAGTCACAATTTCCATATCACAATAGAAATCGTAAAGTAGTTGCACACTGTGAAATTTTGAAATCAAGTGTTGAATTATTTTATTCTCTTTTTCTCACAGGAGGTAGTACTTTCTAAAGGAAGGGTATGATGAGTATACGTTTACTAAGCAAACACACAGAAAGTAGGCGCAGTTACTACCGTCCCTATATAAACTCTAACTGTACGTTTATAAAATTAATTCATGCACCCATATTATACGTTTACTAAAACTAATTTACGGATGTTTGTGGAATATTTACGACTGTATTATTGAACTTTATTTTTCGTTTGTTACACATATATTTGACGTAGTTATACACTTTTGCATGCGCCTCGAGCTTTTCGAAATTTGATTTCGTTAACCATACATCTTTTTGAGTTTTCACTTGTGCTTCTCAATACAATGTTGTTCGTCTTTGGCCGTATATAATTTTAGCCCATCGTGGAATGTGAAAACGTGGATGTACTACAATATTACAATCAGAATCTTACTTAGTATGCTATAAACTCCTAAGCAGAATGTTTTGTAACACTGTCACACGCCAAATGTTTCCATGTAACTTTTTTTAGCTAGACATTGGAAGAAATCCTTCTTTTAACCATCTTTATAAAGCAACTTTCTCTTGAAATGAAACAAAATACTTTTGCATTGTTTTGCATCCAGCCTCAAAAAGAGGATAGCCTTTAGGTAAGCTTTTCAATGTTTTGTCTATATTGCTAACCTTGTTAGGAATTTTCCATCCATCTAAAATGATGTCACGCAGTAGAATGTTTCCTGCAGACGTCAAGTTCAACTAATTTGTTTCAAACTATGATACATATTGATTGACTGAACTCAAGAAGTACGATCTGCTTTGTCTAATTTTGGTGTTTCCGTCTCAGTTGCTTTCGGTGAAAAAAAACAGTCTACTAAGGCTCCTAAAAGAGTATTTTAACGTAGAGCAGACCTTAGGAGATGTTTTAATCATTGACATGCCTAAGCGAATCCGGAGTGTTTGTGGTGCTGTTTCCCCATTACATGCTTTTGAAACTGATAATTGCAATTCTGTCATATAAAGCAAGAAAATTTACATTCACTTTACGGCATGCTCTGAGCACTGACACAATATCTAATAATATAAAGCTAATTCCAGTGTCTGTTTTCCATGTTCTACGAGGATACTTAGGTTGTTCATTGTATCATAAACATTTTTGTGACCAAAGAACTTCCTATCTGTTTTTTGTCGTTTTCAGCGATTTGAATGTTCTTTATTAATTAGAACAGCGTTTACTGATACAAGTCTTTCGTTGTATGACACCCTAAGACTAAGAATGCTTAACAGTGAAGAATCCTAACTTAAAACTCAATAACTGCACACTGTCCACTATTAGTCTCTAAGCGGTGTGCAACTGTGCTTTGAAAACTGTTGTCTTGACGTATAGCTATTAAGCTGATATTTGCTTAGCATAATATTTATATATTCATTTTAAGCTAAGCTGTTGGTGGTGGTTTTGTCAACGAGATAGTTACTTTGTACAAAAGCTTTTTAAATACACCTGAAGTCATATGACACACAAGTGGCATTGACCACTTACGAAATATCGATACAGGAAAAGTTCGCTAAGTTCACTGCTTTGTAAAATGTCCTTTACCTTTTGAAAAATAGGTCTGTTGATTTTGTTACTAGCTGTCTGCAATTATGTATTCTTATTTTTGTTAACTAGGGCATGTGTAATTTATGCAGATTATCTCACATCATGTAATTAACATAAATTTCGTTTTAAATTAGCCTACAAAATTTGTGTACGTGGTTAATATGACCGTGAATGATAAAATAATTTCCAACTTAGTTTCCACCATGGAACAAAACAGAAAAGTTAACTACGGAAAGTCAGCAGTCATTGAACTATTGTTTCATATTAGTTTGAAGTTTCTCTGTGATAGGAAACTATAGTCACACACGAGTCAGAGATGAGGACTGCTACATCTGACAGCAAGCACATGATCATTTAGTCACATATATGTAAATGTCTTCTGTTTTTTTCAATTTTTTTCAGTTCACCTTATATTATGATTGCTGGGAACAGGTTAGTTTCCGGTAAATTATGTCCGATGAATTTCATAAGTCATAGACTCCTGCTGCAAACTGAATAAGTTTGTTCCAAGGCTAGCAATTAATGTCACTGATGGAGTTTTTATTGGAATGCTTCATTCATGGAGATTAGATAAGTTTGAATGTAGCACTTATCACAAAACCGTTTAAGCTGGAAAACCAATGAGAAATATGGAGTTACGTGCATCTGTCCTGTCATATTTTTGATAGGTACAAGCAACGAAACATTCTTGAAACAAATAGCTGTCTACTGTCTCATTCTTAAAGAGATTCTTTTGTTGATCTCAATGTATAACGAACATTATTCCCTAATAAACCAAACATTCAGTGAACACTTATCTTTTACGCCATCATTTTAACACACCTCGTTTTTTGTTTAAAATCTGTTTCTTTATTATTCTAAACGAAGAACTGATAAATACTTCTTCCACACTTGTGGAAAGAAAATGAAATTTAGAAATCTGGGGGATACAGTTAGTGTCAGATATTTCTTATCCTTTTTATTGTAGCCGTTTCTGAAGATGCTCATGTCGTCGATTGGTAAACACTGATTACCACGTAGAAAAACTGTTACCACTACTTTCTTATATTAAATTGACGAAAATGATGCAAGTTGGAATATAAAATAAAGCAGTGACCAGTAGGGTGCATCTGGTCGGGTGTGAGGACAAATACTCGCCGAAGACATTGGCTAGCGGTCGCGCTATGTCGTGAATTGGCAGAAGTTAGAATTCAAGGACCATTGGATCGGGTCCCAGTGGCTTAATGGTATACGAGCTCGCCTTGTAACCGGAAGGTCCTGGGTTCGAATCCCGGTGGGTGCGTACTGATGAAGAGTCCCAAACTAGGACGAAACAGCTGTCCAGTACTCCCAGGTTTTCCAATGGTTCTCTAACTAATGTCAGCTCATGATGAAATCCTGAAATTAAATTATTTACTTGAAAAGTATTAGACAACTGAAATAAAAATACCCTATTCATACACTTATGCAGGAAAAAAGGGTTACAGCTATGACACAACATGGTGAGGATTTTTTCGACTATATTTATGCACTAGGATGACACTTAAGTTACTTCAACATTTTGAAATTGCTTGTTCTTACTTTTATATTACTCAAACAATCGCTGACCAATGATATGACCTGTAATATTAGTGCCGGAACGTGGTTTAGATGCTGAAATGAAGCAGTTAACTCTACTGGAAACTGGAAGCGACTGCTGTCACCTAAATTCCTCTGATATGTTGCCTCATCGAAAAATAAGAAGGTAAGACTGGCTGGTGAGAATAATTACTTTATTATGCAAAATAATGCATGATTATATACATATTACCAAGTAATTAATTTGACTGATCAGTGGTTAGTGGTTTCAACTGGTTTTAGACTGTAAACAGACGAATAGACACAGTGCACTCCACAAAGAAATTCTGTAGTTAAATGAAAACACATGATATCTCTAGTCTTATTTATCTGGGCACTTTCATAACTAGTGCTGAGTTACCCCGGTCTGATTTAGCAATTACTGTGATCTTGTGCTTCCTCAAACATGTTGGAGATGATATTTCTTGTTGTGATAAGTTCTTTCTCACTTTATTCCGATGTTTTATTTTTGGTGAACATAGTCCTCTGATTTGCTCAGCAATTGATTACCCACTGAGTTTATTCATCTCCTCAGTTTCTAATCTGTCATTGGCTACGTTGAAGTTCAGTCCCTTCTCGAACGTTTTCGTTTCACCAGAGTTTAATGCCCTTGTTGAGAGGTTCATCACCCACTTTGCTTTGACGATAGTTAACAATGATACATTGGTAACTTGTAACGTCTTAACAGGATGCTTTCCTTCCAGTAAATTGTTGAATATTTTAATTTGAACTTATTGAAATAAATAGAAAAATCTAATTACATCCAGCCAAGGCTGTTTTATCCACGTAAAAAAATAAAATAAATTCATACATTTGCCGCTAGCATGTTGACTGTTAAACAACATCCAAGGCATAACGTGACACAGCCACCCAGCTAGGAAGTCACATCTTACAGATTTTCTTTGACCAGTCTATTCACATTCTCGTCTCTCATCAATACTTCCATGAATCTATCTAAACAAGTGACCTTCAAAAGAGTCTGAGTATTTGTCTACAGGATGTCATGTGGCAGAGTAAGAGAAGTTATAAGAAAACAGTCTGAATGAAATGTGAACATGTGACATTTTTCATACTCTAGACAGACTGAACTAACCCTCATATATCTTTAGCTTTTATATATCTAACTTTGGAATAACAATAATATTTACAAAATTAATATGACAAAAGTGAATTAATGTACTTTTATAAGATGACATATCGTATGTCATATTTTTTTCAACTAAATTAGAAATAGACTTCCTGTTTTGTTTACGAAGTTGTTACAATTCGGGTATATTTTTTAAACATTCTAATTTGGTAAAGAAAACATTTTTGCTTACAGTCATGTGCTGTTGATTGTTGTTTTGTTCAATCATGATGACGTAAATGCGTTGCAAATCATTTGTCAGTGTAATATAAGAGAAATAAGTAGGTGTGGAAATTGTTTGGTTTTCTCCGAGCTTTGATTTTCCATCTTCTACTAAACTCGGGGATATAATAATTTCTGTCTGGTCTACAAGTCTTCCCGATTATTTCACTGTGTATTTGTGTTATGAAAATCAAACCCTCAGAATTTTTAGTATTAGAACTCATGATTCTGAAATCATTTTTGCATCACTTCTAGAAAACCTGCCATATTATGGATGGGTGAAAACAACGACCGGATAATTGATAACCGCGTCTCTGCATGACCTTATTGTAAGCAATATTTAACTTTTTAAATTACGTCAAATAAACAAATTATACATCATGGTGTTCCTGATAAAAATCTCTCTAAGAGTGAATTAATTTTTAATAAAGGTCGGATTCATAATGAAGATTAATGTTTTTTCTTTTATTTAAAGCTCCTATATTGTAAAAATTCGAATTTTTTTGTTTACTCGGACAGTGATTCAGTTCACATAAGAATTGAAATTTGGAGTGAGACTTTCACACATTAAATGAGCTTTGCCTGAATTTCTATGATTGTTAGAGGGTCTCTTGGCCTTTATAGTTATGCAAGCTTCTCTTTTGGATATCTATGGATACTATGTAATAATAATAATAATAATAATAATAATACTGCAGTGCTTTCTTTCATTGCCAACATAGACTAGATCATGCAGGTAACATTTAGAATACACATTTCATCAATAAAAAACTAGGCACCTGTGAACAGGCTATTCAGGAAGCAGGTAGGTGCGTACTACCGATGATTCCCAAACTAGGATGATGCAGCAGCTGTCCAGTACTCCCTGGTTTTCAATGCTTCTCTAACTGATATCAATGCATGATCAACTCGTAAAAAGTAAGAACTAAGTTGACTGAGTTAGTCTAGGTGCACCAATGACTATGTCAGCTGTCTGGTATTCACATTATTTCGACCCAACTAGCCAGCAGACATTGTTGTAAGTGATTTCTAGTTACTTATGTCAACCAATAATATATTTTGTTGCGGTTTATTCATTTTCCTTATTTTACGACCATTTATTTTATTTGGAAAAGAGTAAAATAACAAGATAATATTCGATTAGGAATTTCTCTTCACTGATGGCCAGGCAAATGACGTTGTAAGCGGACAACACGTTTTCATAAGGCAGAGGATACTGATCACTCGAATACTTTCTTCACGCTTCTGAGAAAAAATTAATCATCCAAAGTTAACTGAAAATATAGATTTTTATGCAACTGTTCCCATGGTCTAGTGGCTACTAAGTTTAATACTGGCTTCTCGTAGATCGCCTAATAATGGGCTAAAGAAGTAACCGTAACACGACCTTCCGACTCTGATAGAGAGTCAATAATTAGTCCACAAATTAAAGAGAAAATGATGATCAATAATGTCTATGGTGAGCACGAATACTGTAAAATCTGTCAGTTTATCTTTTGGGTCTTGATATACATTTTTCATCAAACATTCACCGATAGCTAGTGCACCACTGAAGTTTTCTTTTTGTGGACTGCGACTTTGAAGCCACTGCACCACACAGATATTGGTCAGATGTTTAGAATGAGGTTTTGTTCAGTTACCGCATTTTTCTGTTTGTACGCTGAAGCATTCTGATGATACATATTATTTTTCATATTGTGGCAACATATATTAACACGTCCGCCTATACCGCGTCATTTAACGACTAAAACCTGCTTAGACATCCGTTATGTATCCGTAAAACCAAAAATCTAGATTTGTTCTCTCTGATATAAACAAAACTTTTCATCATACTGTTGGAAAAACTGTCAGTAACATCTTTATGACTATTCAATAAAATACAATTCTAGATTAAGTGCTTATTATTTTACTTGATCAAGAATTTTACTGTAAAGATTTGAACGAGATACAGCTTTTTACAAGACAAATCACCAACGGACGTGGAATTTTGTCATAATTAAAAAGAGAGAAATTAAGGAATTCCTGTCATTTGTGCATATTCAGTATTAACACCCTGTTTTTATTAAACCATTATTATGCATATAAACAGGTCCAAAGCGTGTAGGCTTTGGTTCAGTCTGTCTAGAGTATGAAAAATGTCACATGTTCACATTTCATTCAGACTGTTTTCTTATAATTTCTCTTACTCTGCCACATGACATCCTGTAGACAAATACTCAGACTATACAATTGGTGGATGGTGGCTAGCAGTGGAATCCAGGATGCGCATTTCGTCCTGTTTGGGACTCTTCAGCTGGATGTACCTGCATTTCTCAGTGAGTGATGATGTTCCCACTGAGGCTCGAACCCAGTACCCATAGTTTCAAACGCCAAAGCGTTATCCACTAGACCACTTGGGCCACGAGAGCCACCTCTTGTGCGACGGGTCATATTAATTATTGAATTGAATTTTTTGATTTTCCCGTCGATTGATTGGACCGAAGTGCTCGGGAACATCATCACTCACTGAGAAATGCAGGTACATCCAGCTGACGAGTCCCAAACAGGACGAAATGCGCATCCTGGATTCCACTGCTAGCCACCATCCACCAATTGTATACTAACTAAATGCCCAGACATCGTCGAAGCATCTGCACAAGAAGCCGACATGTCAACCTGAGACCAAGCACTTCGGTCCAATCAATCGACGGGAAAATCAAAAAATTCAATTCAAATACTCAGACGCTTTTGAAGGTCACTTGTTTAGATAGATTCATGGAAGTATTGATGAGAGACGAGAATGTGAATAGACTGGTCAAAGAAAATCTGTAAGATGTGACTTCCTAGCTGGGTGGCTGTGTCACGTTATGCCTTGGATGATGTTTATTTTCATTACCAAACGAGCACAAATGAAACTAATCCTTTCTTATCAAATCTGAAATTCCAGTATTCGACTTATGACTTTAAATCCATGAGAATCAAGCCCCATAAACAATGATACATAAGTTACAGCATTATTATGAAGGCTACTGAATCCCGAAATTGTGACTACTTCTGATGATAAATTTATGGGATTTCATAGATTTCAATGTCTATTTTCCATGATAAGCGATCCTTTCTGAATATCACTGGAAGCCAGAGATTCAAACAGCTTCTTTTTGGAATAATACTGGACTCTTCACCTATGCATTTAAACAAGAACTGTACCGATAGTGGATAAGACAGAAATTAAAATGAATCAAGTTTAGCAGAAATAGCACTCCAAACGCAGGTGATGACGATTTTTTCCAATTCCCTTTAATTCAGAAAAGCATTTTGGAAGTATAATATTGATCGGTGGAAAGTGTTAATCTTTCATTCAGTTTATTTTTGTCATGCGTATTGCGGAATAATGTAGTGCTTTTGTCCAAATCAAGCTTGTTATTATGATAAACTTGTACAACTGAAAGCTAGAAACTTATTTTTCTAATGGTCAGTGGTTAGACTCCAAATTCACAATTTCCAGTTCATTTTTGTTATGAGCTGTGGAATGAAGCGTTTAGTCAACTTTCATATGACGACAATTTCAAACAGGTAGTAAGAAAAGCACTTGAATAAACTTTAGACTTTCATTCGCGTAAATTGAAAAAGTTTATTATTTTGTTAACGAATCCTTATTATACCCCGCTTTATTTATCCTGGTTATAAAATTTAATATCGATGAACTGATGTATAAATATCCATACATAACGTAATTTGAAACAGTATCTCTGTTAAAAGTGAACAAATTCTTGATTTGTGGAAGAATATATCATGCGATTTATCTGACAGAAACGATTAGGGAACATTCATGTAAGGGTTTTCGGGATTTGATTTCACATCACTCTAGATTTATTCACAAGCATACATGAGTAAGAAGTATTTTCCATGTAACATATTCCAGTCGAAACTGATAATAAAAATCCTCATGAGAAACCATGTTAACTCCAATAAACTGCTAAACACTTTTCACAAATTCAAACAGTTTTTATCCATAGATATGTGTCTCTTTGGACTAATTTAAAGTATTTCTCGCCAACGACGGAAAACTCGGAGATAATATTCCTGATTGTGGTGGACTGGATCATGCAAAAGACCATGGGGAACGGCGAAGAAGGAATACGTTGGACCAATAAGAATACTCTAGAAAATCTGGATTTCGAAGATGATTTATGTCTAGTGTCACCTAAACTCGAAGACCTACAAACGAGAACCGATAAATTGGCAAAAGAAGAAGAAGAAGTGGTAACGACAGGATTTCAAGTGATTACAGAGAAGGCAGAGATGATGAAGATACTCAACCAACTGCAACAAGCAACAATTACTGAAAACTGGAGAAAATTGAAGAAACTCACTTCTTTCACTTGTCTAAGTAGTAACGTTTCGATTACAGGAGACACGGATGTGGGTGTCAAAGCCAGGATTGGAAAGGCAAGGCAAACCTTCATTAATCTGAAATCGGCCTGAACATCTTCTGCACTCAGCATAAAGAACAGGATTCTGGTTTTAAACATTAATGCCAAGTTAGTTCTTGTGTATGGTCTAGAGACTCAGAGGGTCACCAAGAATATTTCGAACAGGCTTTATAGTTTTATCAAAAGCTATCTTAGCTGCATACTGAAGGCAAGGTGATCAACCAGAAATAATACACAACAAAGACTTCTGTCAGTCAGTAAACCAACCAAAAGCCAGTCTCCCAACAAATATACTGGAAATAATGGAGATGGATCGGAAACACTCTGTGGAGGCGGTCACATGGAAGGCCGTGGAGTGGAACCCGAGTGAAAAATGAAGAGTTAGAAATTCGAGGTTGGCAGAGAGGAAATCGTGTGAGGAGAAGATGAGGGAATATGGACTATCGTGAAGCCAGCTAAAAACGACTGTAGAAAACAGGATGAAATGGAGATGTGTTGTCGAAACCTTACGGTCCACTCGGAACCTATGCTAATTATTGTAATATATAAGAGGATCAGAGAGTAGAAGATGGTTTAAATAAATATGCACTGCTTACCACCCTCAAACACTTGTTAAGGGCATTTCCACTCTCGATAGTTTTGCAGTTAATGTTACTCCTTGATGGAAACTGTTCTGAAACTACTTAGATATGTCTCTGGTATTTTCATAATGCAAAACAAATTTATATATATATTCAGTACCAACAGATTGGAAACACAAACTTTTCACGTTTTTTCAGGCTAGTACAACAAAACAGCTTTGTCTAGTGTATAATAGAAATTCAATATTTTTTAGCTAAACAAACTTTTTATTCAATAGACAATACTACTCCAAAAGTACCCTGAAAACTATTCACCTTATACGTGTAAATTTTCAG